TAAAAAATCTTTATAGTATTCAATCGGATTCTATCGATTTTTTTAAACAAGGAAACCCATTTCCTCGATGGCGAACACCTAGACACTTACTTCCTCGAAGGCGAACATCTAGACACTCACTTCCTCGAAGGCGAACACTTAGACACTCTCTTCCTCGAACGCGAACACCTAGACACTCACTTTCTCGAAGGCAAACACGTAGACACTCACTTCCTCGACGGCGAACACCTAGACACTTACTTCCTCGTAGGCGAACACTTAGACACTTTCTTCCTCGACGGCGAACACCTAGACATCCATTTCTTCGACGGTGAACACCTAGACACTCACTTCCTCGAAGGCGAACACCTAGACACTCACTTCCTCGAAGACGAACACGTAGACACCCACTTCCTCGAAGATGAACACCTAGACACTCACTTCCTCGAAATCAAACACGTAGACACTTATACTTTCTCGACGACGAACATATCTCTATATTTCGATATTCCAATTTTTATATTTATATATATAATAATAAATATTTTATATTATATTGAATAATATTTTTAATTGTGAGTTAAATCGCGCGCGCGTCATATGTGATACAGCATGCAACGCTGGTCTGCTGGTTAGATATAGATAGATAGAGTGAGATGACAGATAGATAGAGTGAGATAACACATAAAGTCTGCTCTCTATTATCGAAAAAACAAGACGTACATTTCTCTGGTCGGCGACGTTGATGACGTATCTTAAAAATAAAACGTGAAAATTCACATATCCGGACTTTGCGTCGTGATATCTCCGCTCGTAGGGCACGTAGAAAAACAATGAAAGCATTTTTATCATACAATTTAAGTATTTGCTGTCGATTGAGCGTATGTAGAACTTGATCGGTTCAGCCGTTACTGAGATATGATCATCTCAATCCCCCGAAATCCTCAGTTTCGCGTAAAGGAGGCACGGCAGTGTCGCGCGCTTGGCTTAGCGCCGAGACATTACCGTGTCTCCAGATATTGCATTCCACCTATTTTGTTTTTGATGGAGTTATGTATAAGCAGAATTATGGTACTCCTATATAGGTTCTCCGTTGTTCCCGGTCATCGCGGATCTGGATTATGCGGAAATTGGAGGATAGGGCTTTATCTTTGATTAATTTTCAGATGTCCTTTTATTATAGATATGTTGACGATATTATTTTGGCAGCACCAGTTTCGTTGGTTAATCATATTATTGACATTTTTAACTCTCAGCATCCTAGACTTCAGTTCACTATGGAGGTGGGTGGAGACAGATTGAATTTTTTGGATGTTACAGTTATTAGGAATAATGAATTGATAGAGTTTGATTGGTACCATAAACCGACATTCTCAGGCAGATACTTGAATTTTTGGTCACAGCATCCAGTTTCTCACAAGAGAGGTACGGTGATGGGATTGGTTGATAGAGTGATTTTACTTTCGAATCCTAAATTTCATTTTGACAATCTTTGTTTTATAATTAAGGTCTTATTGGAGAATGATTATCCATTAAAATTTATATTTGATAATATTTTAATAGTCGTTCGAAGAATATTATTATGGCTCGAAATAAAAGGAGAGTCATAGATGATCATAATCGGGATGTAGTGCAACCCACATGGTTCACCGTGTGAAATGTGCCTTTCGTGAAAGGTATTACTGAGAAGTTCAACAGATTGAACAACAGTCATTTGAGAGTGTCGTATTACAGTGGTAATAAATTGCGTGAATTTATTAGAGGGCATAAAGACCCTTTCTCACATGAAAAGAAGTCAGGAGTTGTGTTAAGAATTTCCTGTAAGAATTGCAATGCAAGTTATGTGGGACAAACGTGCAGACAACTAAAATCAAGAATTACGGAACATAAAAATCATATCAGATGGAACACGTCCACCCGTAGCGTCATAACTGAGCACCGGCTGCATGAAGATCATGAATTTGATTAGGATAATGTCAGAATATTGGATAATGAACCACATTATAGAAAAAGACTGATTTCGGAAATGATATCCATCAGAAGACAAGCACACGGACTTAATTTACAAACGAACATGGAGGAGCTTCCCAAGGTCTACTTCCCGATCGTAGATAGGATATAAATAGCGTTATTGTCTGTCACGTCTGTCTAGTCAGTCTCGTTTGTGTACAGTAGTTGAGTGTTAACATTTGTCATCTGCAATTTGATAATTTTAATTTAATACCGTCTGACAAATTGTTGTGATTCACTGTGTGAAGTCTGAGACTGACTGGCCTAAATTATTCTGAAGATCGGTTTTGAGTGTTTGCGATGCAATATCGTTGTGAACATGGTGAGCCTCCCTACTTCCGGTAAAATAATCGTAATTAATTAATTATGATAAATTCAATTTCGAAATTATTAGTTTTCTAAGAAATTCTGGGAAATTATTTCCCTTAATTCCAGCATCCTATTTATTAATTTTTCTTTTCTGCCTTTATTGGTCATATTATTTTGTTCTTTAAGATGAAATTGTCATCTGATTTATTTCTCAGTTGTGGGGGAGCTCGCGGTGTTTTAAACATCCTTTAATCTGTTGTCAACTTTAAACTATATTTTATTTATGTAATTTTTTATTGTTTCTGAAGAAGGCTCAAAATTGAGCCGAAACATGTAAGAATAATTTTTGTAACAAATAAGTTTTGCTTGATAAATATCAGCATTTGCGTAAAGTTATCTACGCCTGACTCCTAGTGCCCTTTTTCTCTCCAAGTTAATTCTAAAAGTTTGGTACTCTATATTTTTATTCAATTTACATTGTTTTATATTTTGGAAATATTTTTGGCACATAATTAAACGTAGATTAATGAAAAGACATGTGGAACTTAAATGGGTAGGATTATAAACGATCTATGCATTATTGAGAATTACGTGCAGGTTTTGCTTGAGGTAGATAACTACAAATGCAAATGGACACAAAACATATATACTCTCTATTAACAATAACTTTTAGATTAATAAATATACATGACCTTGTTACAACACATCGTATTGATATCTATAATCATTAATATAAAGAAAGGATATAAACAGTCTTTAACATTAAATTACACATTTAGCGTTATTTTCGAAAGAGCGAAACCGCGTAATATCTCCATTGCTATTACTGATAGAAGATTCACAAAATATAGCTTTATTCCTGATAAAAAATTAAGTTGATTACTATTAGGAAATTTTTTTCCACCATGCTTACTTATGCAGTTATTATCGAGTAAAGATAATCCAACCATCGCCGTGTTTTAAACAGACGCACGTCCGTAAGCCGCGCGTCAAGTAGTGTGCGTGAGCCCTCCGCCACGCCGGTACACCGCTGACTTCGCCGCTATCGCGCAATGTTCTCACATGTCATAGCAAAGTTACGAAAAATGACAATCAATGAATTAATATTATGTCGCGATAAAATAATAATTATACAAATTAAAATTATGTCACTATACTATAAAATTCTCACACACACACACGCGCGCATTCCTTTTTACTCGGAATTAAAATTATATCCCTCTCTCTCCCGACATTCCTTTAATTTATTAATAAGAACCTTAATTACTTTAAATTGAACAATTCGTTGTTGTTGTTCTTTATTATAAAGTTCTGTTTATTATAAAGGTTGTGTTCTTTTTATTATAATATTGACGCTATTATAAATTTATTAACAATCTGTTAACAATCTATGGAATAATATAATTTATGCATAATCTCATTGGTAAGTCATTTAATTTGATGAAAATTATGATTTAATATAAAGTTTGATTTAAAAAATAAAATTACAGTAACGTCTCGTACTTAATTATACAGTACATCTATCTTATCAATAACACCATACTCAACATGGAAAATATCGTTACCGAAATTATAATGTGTCTTAGGAGGGGGTGTTCGTTTGACTTTTTTAAACACATCGAAGTCTGAGGAGGGCTCAATTCCAGAGTCGAAACATGTGTGTGTGTAACTCTGAATTTATTGAATTGAAAATAATTAAGGTTCTTATTAATGAATTAAAGGTATGTTGGGAGGGGGGAAGGGTATAATTTTAATTCTGAATAAAGGAATTTGAATTTTATAGTATTGTGACATAATTTTAATTTGTATAATTATTATTTTGTCGCGACATAATATTAATTCATTGATCGTTATTTTTCCTAACTTTGCTATGACATGTGAGAACATTGCGCGATAGCGGCGAAGTCAGCGGTGTACCGGCGCGCGGCGTGGCGGAGCGCTCACGCACACAACTAGACGCGCGGCTCACGGAATGTGCGTCCGTTTAAAACACGGCGTTGGTTGGATTATCTTTGCTCGATAATAACTGCTTCGGTAAGCATGGTGAAAAAAAATTTCCTAATAGTAATCGACTTAATTTTTTATCAGGAATAACGCTATATGAATACTGGGCGGTATTTTGAAAACACCCTGTATATCATAAATTGTGTGTAGTAAAACTCAATTAATTGTTATCAAAAAATTAGTAAAGCTTCTTTATTATTCATATTTGCCGCTACTATTCTGGAACCTTCCCCTTTAAATTGGAATTCTCTTTTTCTCACCACATGTCCATACAGCGTTACAGAGTAAAGCCCATGGCACATAGAAAAACGTAAGGCCCTAAACGTAATCAGTAAGCGAATTGACCAATCACAGTTGAAAAGTAAGCGGCTGCCGTTTACGTTCTCAATTGTGATTGGTCAATTCGCTTACTGATTACGTTTACGGCCTTACGTTTTTCTATGTGCCACGGGCTTAAGAGAAATGAATAAAAAACGCAAAAATAATTTTAGATAATATATCATTAAGTGCAAAACCAATTGTAATGGGTTTTAGATAAAGAAGAATTAAATTTAAGGAAGAGATTCCAGTATAAAGAAAGATAGCTCGAGCATAATGTTTCGAAGTATGTAGAATTATATTTTCTGTTTATAATTTAATAAATATAACAGTTAATGTCAAAATTAGTACATAAATAAATTTTAATACTAATTGCTTTTTATATAAAAACGCTTAATTTAAGGATGATAGCACACCATGAAAGATATTTTATTTTTTTTTTATTGAAGTTTTAACATTTAATTGTAAACTTATCGCTGCGGTATTCTTAACATTGTCCTTAATCACATAATTTGTCTTCTCGCTACTGTTACCTGATTGCAAACATAATCTCACTTTTTTTTTATCAGTTGGACATTCGTTGAGTGTAGAATTAGACATAGAGTTTTCCTGGTTTGTATCAATAATGATTTCAACTTCTGCCTCTGAAGTCGACGAATTATTTGGATTTGTAGTTTCCCGTTTTGTGTTAATTTGCTAAAGAGAATGAGAAATCAATTATATATGTAGGATTGCACACAAACGCTGTTTAAAGTAATACAACACACATACTATTCCAATAACAATATATATTAATATATATTTATATATAACAATATATAATTATCCCACATATATAAAAATTTTATGTGCAAAAATTTACATGCAAAAACTAAGGAAGGATTAATAATGATGGATTATAAATATAAAATTATGTTTTAATTTTTATTATTTTAAAACAATTTTATAATGAAAATTTATTATATTGTAATGTAGCATTATGAAAGATTTGAGTATTTATTTCTATTTTTCAAAATGCGTTATAAATTAGAATACAATAATTTGTAAAGATAAAATAAAAGGTAAATACGAGAGAGAAGGTTATTGTCACATATAATTAAAAAAACTTAGCTGAAATAATTACATTAGCTGCGTTTGACGCCTCAGATTTGCTATTACCGAACACAGCTAATATAAAATTAGAAATTAGACTATAATTTAATAAATTAGATGTGTACACATAACATGTTTCGACAATAATTTGTATTACAAAATAAAATAAAATTTATGTCAAGAGCAGAACTAATTTCCATTACAACAAATTTCAGGATTAATTTAATTACCTGATTATAAATATTTGTCTTTATCAAAGAGTTTTCATTGTAGCTTCGTCGATTGCTAGATTTAGGAACATAGTTTTGATTTAATGTAAGCAATTTTTCTAGTTCTTTAACTCGCTGTTGTAGAGCTAAATTTTCACTTTTGCAAAATGCAAAATGCATCTCCATATTTCTGAAAGCAAAAATAATACAATAAAAACAATAAAGACCATAAGATTACTAAATTTAACTATTTCAGTATAGAAAACACAAGTTCTTACTTTTCTTCTAAGGACTGCTGATGCCTCATAAGCTGACCTTTAAGATTTTCTATTTTTTTTGTTTTCTTTAACATTATCCTAAAATTACAAGCGAATTGTACAAGGTATTAAATTAAATATATTAAATAATAATTAAAGCACATGAAGACATGTTAAGATATATAAAGACATACTTTTTCATCATGGAAATATAATTAATTAAAATATTATGATCAGTTGTTTTTTTGACCAGTTTCTGGACATCCTCAAGTGTACTTGTTGACAATGTTCTATGCATACTACAAAACAAATATCGAAACAAAGATCAATTCGATTGTTCAGCAATACATTACCAATAACTAAATCAGGGAATGAAAAGTTACTTTTTAAAAGTAACAAATTACAGTTACTCGTTATCCGAGTAAAAAAAGTAACGAGTTACCGTTATTAATTATCGCTTTTTAAAAGTAACTCGTTACCGTAACAGTTACCGTTTCTCGAAAGATAACTTTCCGTTACTTTTTAAAAATCAATCTGAAAATATATTTTTGTAGTATTTTTTGTTTAAACATTAATAAAAGCAATATATATATAGCATGTATAACACTGACTGCACTATGTATAGTTTTATTTTTTAGTTTTCTTTAAATACAATTTCGTAATTCTAAACCTGTAAAATGTGGCGTCGAGTGGCTCACCGCTCGGTGCGATTGGGCGAGTTCAAGACAGCAAAGCGGCTAGGTACGCTTGCCGAGCGATCGAATATGATTGGTTGGATCTATAAGTAATAACCAATTATGTTCAATCGCTCGGCAAGCGTGCCTAGCCGCTTTGCCGTCTTGAACTCGCCCAATATCGCGATCTGTAGACCCGAGTTCAATCCCACGCGCCCATACGCGATTTTTCACGTTTAATGAGCCAAAAAAGGCTCCACCTGGTAATCAAAAGATCTATGATTATCAGCGCCGTTCGGATTCGGCGTTAAATTGTAGGTCCTATACATCAGTATATATCAATAGATATATGTCTCTAATATATTTAGATAAGGAACTAGAGAAGAGAAGAATTGGAGGTGTAAAAATAGGTAGGAATAGGGTATGGTCTTTGGCTTTTGCAGACGATTTGGTACTTCTGGCTAAAAACAGGGAGGCATTACAAGATATGATGGGAACGTTTAAAAGATTTTTAAATGACAGGAGGCTTGAACTATGTGCAGATAAAACAAAGATAATGGTAGGTAATAGGAAAGGGAGAGAGAAAAAGGAGAAATGGAAATGGGGAGAGAAGGAAATTGAAGAGGTACAGACTTTCAAATATTTAGGTTTTACCTTAAATACCAAAGGTGATTATAAAGATCATGTGAAAGAACTAGGAAGAAAAGGGAAAATGGTGGCGAGGAAGGTATGGGGCTTAGGGGAAAGGGTATGCAGGAATGATTTGAAAAGGAGATGGATTTTATTTAAATACTTGCAGAGCGTTATGTCATATGGGGTGGAAATTTGGGGGTGGGAGGAAAAGGAAGTACTGGAGAAGGTGATGCTGGACTATGTAAGATGGATTTTTAGATTAGATTTCTGCACGCCAAGGTACATTATAATGCGGGAATTGGCAATGGATAAGTTAAAGATAGGATGGGGTATAATAGCGAGAAGATATGAGGAAAAAATTAGAAAAGGTTTTACTGGGGATTGGGTGCGGGAGTGTTGGGAGGAAAAGCAGAATTACCATTGGGAGGACAGATATGGGAGTGAGAGAGAAAGTTATTATAATAGGAATGGGTGGGGGATAGGAAATAGTAGATTAATGGATAATGAACAAGGAAATTTGGAAACGGAGATAATTGATAGGGAAACGGAGGTACAAATGCAATGGGAAGATAGTAGAATTGGTAAAGCGAGATATAATAAGAAATACAAAGAATTAATAGATAATATAAGAGGTCCGGCATATTTGCGGATGACAAGATCGGAATTAGTAAATAGAGGTGACGAGGTAAGGGCGTTGGCCAAATTAAGGTGTGGGAATCTTGAAGAAGCGAATAAATACTGGCTAGAAGAAGGTGAAGAAAGGAAATGTATATTTTGTAAAAAAGGTAGGGATAATATAGATCACTATGTTGGAGAATGTGAAGAAATGGAGGGGAGGTTCAATGTTTTAGGGGATGATAAAGGAAGAATTTTAGAAAAGTTATGGAGTGAGGAGTTGGATGAAACTAAGGGTAATGTTATAAGGAAACTGTGGAAGGATAGAGATAAGATTTTGAAAGAGTTAAAAGAAAAGGAGATGGATAAGAAACGAAAGGAAAATGGGTTAAGTGAATAGAAGTAATGAATAGGAATTCGGGGACAGGGCAGGTTATATGTATTAAGAAGGCGGTGGAAAGGTTTGAAGGATAGGCGGGAGTTGTAAATAGATAATATGTTATAGGTATGATGGAAAGGATATATATGCGTGTCAATTGTTTATAGGTAGAGGTATAGTGGCTCCTGTATGTAATATTTAAAAGGCTGTGATAATGTAATATAACGTAAAGTATAAGTTAAATAATGTAGGAATAATAATCTAGGACAATATGGTAAGATTTAATATAAAGATAGGGTAAAATAGCGTGATAATGATAAAGTGATAAGGTATTATAAAAGTGTGATAAAAATTGTGATATCGTAACGTAAAGCAATATAATGTAATGTATTAATATATAAATGTATTAATGTATTAATGCGACAAGCTAGTAATAGGCTAGTGGCCCAACGGAAAAGCGGATAGGTTAGCTAGGATGAGGTAGTATTTGCGAGGGAGCGCATGTAAGGTATGGAAGGATGTGTGTGGATAAGTGGTATTGTAAACCAAGTCCCCTTCTTGGCTATTGTAAAGCTGAAGTGAATAAAGATATTATTATATGTCTCTAATATCTAACTGAGGTAGGATTCTGTGGATCAATCACCCACAAATCTGAAAACAATTTGGTTCGAGAAACGAATATAAGCCTCGGACAAAAGTGGAAGAGGCCTGTAGACGTCCTATGCTCCACATGAGGAGATAAAAGGAGTCATCAAACCTGTAAAATATGCAGCAAACTGAGATATAATATATGTTTGATGTATCACATAGAAGATAGAAGTGCAAAATAATTCCTGAAATAATGATACTGTATATATTTCTCAGCTGTCAAAGATCACTTCAGGATCGTTACAGCAGTTGACAGCTAAAATATTTCAGAAATTTTTTAATACTTTGTAGAAAACTAGAAGATTATATAGGATATTGTATAGGACTATCTGAATCACAATATAAGTTAGAAAGTAAAAGAAAAATTAAGAAATACACACAATCTCTTTATTATATTAGGAGAATAAATAAGTTTCCGCCGTTTTTTGCCCAAAAATTGGGCATTTATTGTGAAAGAACGGTACCTAATGTTTTATTCGAAGTATTGTCCATCACTAACCACTATTTTTTCCCATCTTCCTGATAATTTGTGGATTCCACGTCGAAAAAAACACTTTCGGCCTTTCGCTACGTTCTTTGTCTTCGATGTCAAATTCACCATGTTCTTAAACTTTTGAAACCACTCACGGCAACTTCTCTCACTTAAGGCAGCCTCATCATATGCTTCCACAAACAATCGATGTGCCTCAGCTACAGATTTCTTCAAATTAAAGAAGTAAATCAAAAGCTCCCGCAAATGACGCTTATTCGACTCAAAACTCGATATTTTCACACGAAAAAAGATATATGATGCTGTCACAAAATCGTTAATATTTCAAGATTATGTTGGCTGCTTTCCTTTTAAAAGACACAAATCGACACGGTATAACACACTCGAACACAGTTTGCCACACTTAAATGGAACGCGATATGTGCAGTGTGTGTATCGTGTGTACGAACTTTTAATACCTAACCATAAAAGATTTGAATTTTGATCTTAATGGACGCATAAGATTCGATTATTGCAAGGAGTGCGTTCTAATATCACTTAATTGTCTTAATTCATCAAAATCACACTTGAATAGACTCGAAACACACTCTGACTCTCCTCCCGAACAGAGGCGAAGTGTGTCGATTGAGTTTGAACAAAATTGTAAATGGAAAGCGACGTGTGTCGATTTGTGTCAAGTGTGTCGACTGTGTCTCCTAAAAGGAAAGCAGCCGTTGTTGCCAGATGTCCAACCTTACTATTTACGATATGACGTTTTACAGCAGACAATTTTAGGGGCTACGCAGAATAAAAGGAACAGAGAACAGAGAATAAGAATTTCAACCTATCAGAAATCATATACTGTGGAATAAACAGTGTGTATTCCATAGTACATGATTTCTGATAGGTTGAAATTCTTATTCTCTGCTGTCTGTTCCCTGTTCCTTTTATTCTGCGCAGGCCTTAACTATAACATACTGGCGGCACCATCTTTTGTCAAAACGGCAAAAACTTATTTATACACCTAATAATATTTTGATTGAAAGCAAATTATAACGCTATAATTAAAATATATAACAGAAGTTTTGTAAAAAGTTTTGTAAAAGTTCCAATTGCTCAACATAAATATACACAGAAATGTACAGAGTAAAGCTTTGTACATAGCTCAATTAGAACAAAATGTGTACGATGTTTAGATTAAGTTAAACTAAATGTAGCTTGTACGCCTGTATTAAATAAAAATACTAAATATTCTACAACCACATTTATAGCTGTCATAATTAATAACATGTAATTATTATATAACAAGATAACGTGTCCAATTGTGTGCAAAATAATGATAAAAGTAATTGTAAATTTCGTTACCGTTATTCAAAAAATGTAACTACGTTACCGTTACAGTTACCAAAAAAAAGTAACGCAGTTACCAGTAAAGTTACCAAAAAAGTAACTTGTAACCATTGAACTATATATGGGACATTCCATGTCAACTCAGACAGACCTCCAGACAAAATTTGGCTTGATGGATTTAAACGTTCAAGGGCTTAAAAAATTTGTACATCTGTGTACTTTTAAATGCCGATGGGCTTCTTTCAAAAATTTTAATGTCGGCGCTATTATGGCTGATAAAAGTCAACAAATTCCAAAATTTAAAACTAACTTCGTACAATAAAACTCGAAAAATTCTTTAATTATTCTGAAATTCTGTATCTAAAAGTTTTTTGGGTCGCCGAATGTAAATCTGATATTAGTTTTCAAAAATTCAAACTTTAAACCAATACCCCGAAGGGATCAGTTTCCTGTTACGTCCACGTCGTTGATCCTGGGTAATGCCGAGAGCAGGTCACATTTTTATTTTAGTCGTATTCGACCCGAAGTTTTGAATGTCCGGAACGCGACTTCAGATTCATAATCACCAACCCCAAAAATCCACGAGTAAAAACAAATTTTAAACAAATTTTAATAAAATTCGATCGATTTATCAAAGAGTCTCCGCAAGCTCCATGCAAAAAATGCCCGTTTTCGGTACCTCGATTTTTGAAACTTTTATTATGCCAAATAGTTACATATGATGACCCAATAATCCCTGTAAAATTTCAAGATGAGCATACAGCCCGTTTAGGAAATAGGTGGGGGGTTAAAGTTGACCATGTCCAATAAAAAAATATAGCAATTCCACATTTGAATTCGAACAATAACGTCTAAAAAATTCAGCCTAAATGGATCTTTTAAAATTTTTGTCTGATGATTATTAATATGAAGTCATATTTACAAAATTCAAAATGGCGGATCCAATATGGCGGACAATTTTTGTTAAAATTCATTGGATCTACTTGAAACTTGTTACTCGGGGGTTTTTGGGGTCGCTGATTACGAATTTGAAGTCAATTTAAAAAAATTACAAATGGCGAATCCAATACATCCAATAAAGGCGCAAGATGTAATAAACAATCCACCCAACAAAAAGTCAATTTTAAATTGACTTCAAATTCGTAATCAGCGACCCCAAAAACCCCGAGTAACAAGTTTCGAGTAGATCCAATGAATTTTAACAAAAATTGTCCGCCATATTGGATCCGCCATTTTGAATTTCGTAAATATGATTTCATATTTATAATCAACAGCCAAAAATCTTAAAAGATCCATTTAGGCTGAATTTTTTAGACGTTATTGTTCGAATTCAAATGTGGAATTGCTATATTTTTTTATTGGACATGGTCAACTTTAACCCCCCACCTATTTCCTAAACGGGCTGTATGCTCATCTTGAAATTTTACAGGGATTATTGAGTCATCATATGTAACTATTTGGCATAATAAAAGTTTCAAAAATCGAGGTATCGAAAACGGGCATTTTTTGCGGAGGCTCTTTGTCCGCCATTTTTGGATTTGCCATTTTGAATTTTTGGAAACTGACATCAGATTTACATTCGGCGACCCAAAAAACTTTTAGATACAGAATTTCAGAATAATTAAAGAATTTTTCGAGTTTTATTGTACGAAGTTAGTTTTAAATTTTGGAATTTGTTGACTTTTATCAGCCATAATAGCGCCGACATTAAAATTTTTGAAAGAAGCCCATCGGCATTTAAAAGTACACAGATGTACAAATTTTTTAAGCCCTTGAACGTTTAAATCCATCAAGCCAAATTTTGTCTGGAGGTCTGTCTGGGTGCGTTCTTTTAGGCATCGGATTTGGCAGCCGCTGCGCATCGGATTTGCCGAACGGGCATTTTTTATACGATCACGCAGATACGTAGCCGGCTGCGCAGCTAATTCTAATCGTCTGCGTATCTACTGCGTATCTATTACCAAAAGAACGAAAATCTGCGCTGCAATCGACTGTGCAGTTGTGCTAAAAGAACGAATCATTGCAAGAACTGCTGTATCCGATGCCTAAAAAAACGCACCCTCTGAGTTGACGTGGAATATCCCATATATAATATACACTGCATGGAGTATAGAAACCAGGAGACCGAACTGGCCTCAAAATGCGTGTTCAAAATCAGGTTTCTGAATTGGTACTGCTGGTGCTCGATAGACGGCGTTCGAATCGCAAAACTCCCTCATGTACGCTTGCGCACAATTCGACACACATGATCTAAGAATAGAGATGTAGGGGCTGCGCAGAATAAAAGGAACAGGGAACAGAGAACAGAGAATAAGAATTTCAACCTATCAGAAATCATGTACTATGGAATACACACTGTTTATTCCACAGTACATGATTTCTGATAGGTTGAAATTCTTATTCTCTGTTCTCTGTTCCCTGTTCCTTTTATTCTGCGTAGCCCCTTATTCTTTGACAGTAACAATAAAGCCAGAAACACTTATGGGCTTTCTACAATAAGCCATAAGTCATATATCGGAAGTAACTAAAAATTGACGACTGTGATTGGTCCATTTCTAGTTTATGACTTATGATTTGTGACTTACGGCTTATTGTAGAAGGCCCAATAGAAAAACGTAAGGCCGTAAGACGTAATCAGTAAGGAAATCGTAACATTGGATTCGCTACCGGCCTTACGGTCTCTACTATGATTGGCCAATTCGCTTACTGATTACGTTTTACGGCCTTACGTTTTTGTATGTGCCATGGGCTTTACACTAAAGTAACAGTAACACTTGCTCTTTCTGATTTACAACCAGGAAACGAACATATACGCATCCTAAGAGTAACAGTAATACAACATATACGAACATATACGCGTCACTACAGTAAAGCGGGGAGCACAGACTTTTGCATAACGCATAAAGCATGTGCATAAGGAATTTCATTGGTCCATTTTCTTATGCATGAGTCAATGGACCAATCAAATTCTTTATGTATATGGTTTATGCGTTATGCAAAAGTCTGTGCTCCCCGCTTTACAGTATCACTTGCACTTCCCGATTTACAACCGGGAAAGGAACATATACACGTCATTATAATTACACTTATATGAATTGTGGCCTTACGCGCGCGAGGAATTTCTTAAAAAATAATCGGGGTAATGCAACACCCAAAGACGGGACGAAACAGGTCGAAATTTTGTATTTACCAGTTTCAACAATTCAATCTAAAACTTTGTAAAAACTAAGATCTACTGTGAAAACCACAGACATCTATACTATACTAGACCGCTAGCCTTCTTATATGTATATTCCCTAGATTCGTTGTACCCAAAACTTATGTACTAAATAGTGCATTGGCGGCGGACTTAGGATCCGATTGGAATGCAGTTTGATAAAATTCAATCCTAAAATTGAATCCTCCGCCTATGACTTATAAGATAAATGTGGCTATATATGTGTTGCCATGTGTGTATGTGAATGTATATGAGGTTTGTCTGTGCCTTCGTGGTTTAGTTCAGTAAAACCTCCAATATAAGTATATGATCTTCTCCCGATTAATGAAAAAAATATTAATATACTTTTAATTCTTGGTAATTACGTAAATTAGTTTATTAATAATGATATAGATATAAAAGTATATTTTTTATTATTTAATATATATTATTATTGATAGTAAACTTAGCGAGACGTACGTAGCGTAATCTAACCTATAATTTATTTTAAAAAATTGTAGCTCTTTTCTTTTTAAAAAATTTGTAAGCTTTCTTTTATTAATATTATATGCTTTTATTATTCTAATATACTGAACAGTATACTCGAACGCATATTATAAAAGTGCACATTGGTGCAGCTGGTGTTGCTCTCTTTCTCGCGAACTGTACTTATAATTAATAATAGTATGCTTTCACTCCTGTAGACCATTAATTATTATATAATTGATAACATTTATGACTTTTCTATACAGTACAAAATACTAAACATATATATATTGAAACCCTTAGGGTGCCGTCCCATTAAGCACGGATCGGAATGACGGATCGGGTATCTCACTAGAATTGAGCATTCCGTTCCAGTTCCGTTCCGTGACAGTTTTCTCTACCCGTCCCATTTAGCAAAAACGGAACGGAATGTCGCGTCGATCGTTGATAAATATGCTTGATTCATCGATATTTCGTTATTTTGAGCAGTTGAAGCAATAATATACATATAATTTGTGCAATTATCTTGCTGACAATATTGTTGTGAGTTCTCTAAAATATTGAATTGTAACGGTAAAATATATTTTGTAACTAGATTCCTTTCCGTTTTTGCTGAATGGGACGGGTAGAGAAAACTGTCACGGAACGGAACTGGAACGGAATGCTCAATTCTAGTGAGATACCCGATCCGTCTTTCCGATCCGTGCTTAATGGGACGGCACCCTTAGCTGTTATCACGGATTACGTAGAGCAGACGACACATTCCAATCGGATCCTACGTCATGTACAATTTGTACATACATTACATTCCGGGACATCTAGGGAGTCGAGGCTAGCGGTCTAGTATAGTATAGATGTCTGTGGTGAAAACGGTATCGTGGAACGAAAGCGACATCTAGAACGAACTAATTCAGATGACCACTTTTGAACACGCTTTTTGAGGGCCTCGTCTATGCCAGTTCGGTCTCCTGGTCTCTATACTCCATGATACACTGGTATGGGCATCTCCGTTGTGAAGCATAGAAAATCGTGGCCGTTTTTGATCAGCCGCCATTTTGGCTAGGTTAGATGCTTGAGCGATTCAGATTATCAGAAGCTTTCAGATGCTCATGCGCACTTAAGCCTTGTGTCCACGATACTAGAAATCGGTCCGAGATCTCGGATGAAGGAAAAATTGACCAATTACATTGGTCATGTGACCAAATTGTTCAAATGTGATTTGTTAATTCTTTCTTCATCCGAGATCTCGGACCAATTTCTAGCATCGTGGACACAAGGCTTTACGAGAGTTGTTTAGCAAGGATACGGTCAATGCAATGAAGTGATATATATTTCCATACATCGATAGTACATCGATCAATACATCGATCGCAACGCGCGCGCGAACGCTTCTGATTCGCTCAATCATCTGATCCAGCCAAAATGGCGGCTGATCAAAAACGGCCACGAATTTTCCTCAATGCCCATTCCAGTGTATAGATAATTCAGTGCTTGTAACTATAACTTTGTTACAAGTAACGAGTTACTTCCATTCCCTGAATTAAATTATACAAGACAATTGACATAGAGAAACATACTCTCGGAATTGCTCCACCTCTTTTTCTTTCTGAGACAGCTTCTGTTTGAGAACATCACACTCTTGATAATTCTCTTTGAAAAAGTTTATCTGTTCTTTTAAAGCATAGATAATTGAGTTTTTCTGTTTAATTTCGCTTTCTACTTTTCGTACTTCCTGTCTAAGGCCAGAATTCTGTTTCTCCAGAATTATATTTTTTGAAGTATAATGCTTGATATTCTTTTCATTCAGTAAAATTTGAAATTTCAAACTGTCTATTCTCCCTTGCAGGGTTAAATTGTCTGTATTATCCGTGGCAATCTCGGTATTTGAAACTGTAAAATGAGCCTTATGGATTTTATCTACCGTCACTTTGTTACGACATTGCGGACAGGTCTTTGATCTATGAGACAAATACATGTAAAATTAGTTAATATCTGATAGAAGTTTCCTTTACAAACAAAATTGTAAATCTCACGACGAAACAAAGAATAATTGTTTTATTTGTGCATTATCCTGCAGCCCTTGCATTTAAAATGAAATCAGGGTAATTATACATAATACACCCATCACCTCCGATTTCGATCAAATTAGGCTCATTCGACGCGATTTTGCATGAAACGAAAGAATCTGGCAGAAAAAAGTGTCGCTCTGCCCTACGAACCGAAATATTTAACGTTAAAGTTGACGACTATTCAGGTTAGGAAATCTGTCATACCGATTACATGTAGTACTATGGGTGCGATCCACTAGACGCTTCAAACGCTTCGAAGTGCTTCAGATGTGATCCACTAGACCCTTCAAAGCGATTCTATAGCAGATACGACGTCATATATTACGTCATAGGTTTTCGCTTCCAGCGTGCTGCAAATGCTTCTGCCGAAGAGGTAGTACGGCTGAAGCGATATTTTGAATGCACAAAAGCGCGGGAAATAATCAGAAATAACAATTAACTATAACCTGTGTTTCGTGATTTCGTTTGGTTTTAACGTTTTATATTTATCGAAATTAAAAGTAATGCCGATTATACAATTAATAGATGTTAATACCGGAGATATTCATACTTTAGAAGTTTCCAAAGAAGATGCAAGAAAGGTTAATGAAGGTAAGAATGTATAATATAACCACGTAATGCCACGTTCGTCTCCATATTAACATGAATTATGTCTTCCGCAGCCTAGGAATACGATGGTTACGAGATTTTTTAGCAGGTTACGTTCAATAATAACGCTTCCAACACTTCACGATTGATCCACTTGTGTAGTATTGGCAATGTTAGTAACGCTAACGGATCACTCTATCGGAAGTATTTGTAGCAATAGCGTCTGAAGCGTTTGAAGTGTCTAGTGGATCGCACCCTATGAGTATGCCTTCTTCATGCTGTCTGACCTCGTGCGCATGCGCTTGGTATCGTTTGAGTCCAACAGAATGCACGAAATTTTAAATTAACACTGCAAAACAAATATATTGTCAGACACGAAATTCTACACCTTTCCCTCAGAAACATTGAACTTTCCACGCGAAGTAACTTCCCCCCCCTCACCCCCTGCACAGGGGCACACGACTTTTTTTTGCAAAAACGCGTCGAATGAGCCTAATTTGATCGAAATCGGAAGTGATGAATGTATTCTGTTGTATTCTGTATAATTACCGAGATCAGATATGTTTCATTCCTGGAAAGAGGAAGGAAGCTCGATCAAAACGAATCTGGCGATACGTATAATCCATCGTATGAAAACATAACCAATAAATCATGTTTACCTTTCGAGCCACTGTAACAGACAACGGTGATGAAATACATGTCCGCAACAAGTGAAAATGGTGTCTTCGGACGATGATAATAGGTCTTGACAGATAACACAAAGGATTTTCATTCTATAGGCAATGAAAATGAAAGCAAAGAACACAACGACCTACTCGTTTCCAGCGTGCTCGCGCTGGCATTGAAAGCGTGAAACAGCTGATGGATTTCAGCGAGCGGTCAACCTCTGCCTCCATCTGCCTCGCGAGAGTCTGTACTCGCGTGAGTCTGTACTCGCGTCTTATAGCGAATTCGGCAGACTGCACTAGTGTACACTGAGTGTGAACATTTTCAGTGTTATATATTCGGCTTGTGCGCACTGTATCAGTGCGACAAATGAAAACTAACCCAATGTAGTGCTGAATTTACATTCCAATCAACCGAATGAACTAAATGAATTCAAGAAATGTTACTGCGTTTCTGATAGTGCAGTTTGGCGTAGCACCAAAATGGTTCTGCACTCGCACTAGGACAGCACCAGAGCAGAGTCAGTGCATGTGTACCGAATTCGCCATTATTACTCATTATTACTGCTTTTACTGCTTGTTACTACACAGTGGTTGCAGTCCGTCATAATTTAATTGTAAATCCGTCGAAATTCCTTGCCTCTCGAAATTACAGAATACAAATATCCCTCAATTGAAATTTCGGTCGGTTAAATATATTAATTAAAACCCAATGCATTGCAGCAAGATTTCTGACCGCATTTGCGACAGTAAACATGCGTAAAAATAAATAATAAATAAATAAATCATTTTAATACAAACTCTTTTTCATATCGAATTTACGATTCAAATTACGCGCAATGTACAAGTCGCAGTTTGTCGGTTTGGACGATAAACCGTGTGATACAAAATGCTTATTGTGTGATTGTACATTTGTTCTTCCCACGAATGAGACAGATCTTCTTATACACTTGTTTAAAGTGCATCGCCTCGTTATAGCTGATGTTTGGAAAATAGCTAATTTAAGGAGGTAAGATAATAATTTCTCATATTTTGTTGCCTTTATCATGTTTATATTCCTTATAGAAAGTATAATACTTGATACTGATAATTTCAGTTATGTACATTACTGGAGCATAAAATTTAAAGAAACACCATTGACGACCTATTGTACTACAATATTAATGGATTGCACACCGAATGGACAGCCAAGTAAAAATGAGCATTACTTTCTACTTTCTGACTGTCTGTCAGAGGACAAGACTTTAAGAGACGAAATACATCGAGCTAAACTAGTACGTACATCAATGAAAAGTCAATAAAATTATATTTATAATAATCTTTTATATCGATTCTTATAATATAATCTTATATAAAAATTAATCAATTAAACTAATTACAATAATAAATAAGTAGGAGTCAAATCCGCAAGTTAAAAATTTTTGTGTATAAATTATAATATATTTACAATATTCTCATTGAATATCTTACATGATTTAAATATTTCAATTCAATTCGAATCATCTTTATATATCTTATATACTAATTTTTTTATAAACTTTTGCAACGATTTGTAATTACTATTTCGAGGAATGGACATTGACTCAACAAGAAGCTGAACGTGCAGATACCAGTTTTAAACGCGGCTGTATATTTTGCCGTACTGAAATCTGTGGATCACGTGCTGAGTACATAAAACACTTGTACCAGAAGCATAATCTTTATCTTGGCAAGTCAGAAAACTTAGTGTTCGTGGACAAGCTTCTGGACAAAATTGAAAATAGCATTGAAAGGTATTGCATTAACAAACTGATGTATGTCACTGAATTCTACATATATTTCAGTATAATGCAAAATACATATATGTATTAGGAATATTTATTTATGAAATTTTTTAAATATAATTATCTCTATCAATCATTTCAGTTTGATATGTATTTATTGTGAGGGAACATTTAAGGATCGTATGGTATTAAAAGAACATATGCGAAAAAAATTTCATAAAAGCATAAATCCTCATAATAAAGCATATGATAAATTTTATATAAACAATTATCTAGAGCCAGAAAAGACTTGGGAACGAAAACAGGTAATGTGAGATTTGCAATAATAAATGTCAATACTTCAGAAATGCGATTTTTTACTTCTACAGGCTAATTTGAAAGCAAAACCCGACATAGGAGGTGGTAGTAGTGAAAATGAGGATGAAGGAAATTCGTGGTCTGATTGGAACGATGAATCTATCAAAATAATATGTCTATTTTGTAATTATAGCAACAATGAGTTTACTTGTATCCTAAGGCATATGAAAAAGACGCATAATTTTGATTTTGAAGAAACTGTCAGAGACCTGACCTTTTACCAGAAAGTAAAGGATTGTCGTGCAATTATATATACCGGGTGGTCCACTTAAATCCTACATCTTGAATATTTCGTTTATTTTTGACAATACAAAAAAATGTTTTAAATAAAAATGGAACGGTGTCGGGGGGGACACGTTTTAGTCACATTGTTTTTTTTCTAAGTGGAGGCGCTAAAAAGATATGAAGGTCATATCTTTTTAGCGCCTCCACTTAAAAAATTAATTATATTAATTTAAAAAATTATCCATTTTGCATACATATTTTTTTTAAAGCAACTATGTGTTTTCTTTACACCATTTGATTTATCTCATTATTCTGTTCACAAAAGTATTAAGGTACGATGATCGAAAAGTCAACAGTTTACGAGTTATTTAACATTTTGTGTCAATATGTACCAAAATAAAGTGAAAAATATCTCGAAAACTATTGGTTTTTTGGTATCTCTACCTTAATACTTTTATATGCAAAATAATTAGAGGAATCACGTTATCTAAAAAAAATTACATAATTCCATTTAAAAAAGTGGAGGTGACCTTCATATCTTTTTAGCGC